TTGATCAAAAGTGATCAAGGAGTCCGACCAGCTAAGGAAAGAGGGGATGGCTGACTCGGCGGCGCATGCCTCTCTGTAGCGTACCTTGTGCTGGCGCTTGGAGTGGATGGCATCGGATCTCCCAAAGATCATGAGGCATTCCTCAGAGTCAGGGAAGCCGTCTTCATCCTTGCCTGTCGCGCCTCCTTTCTTGGTCGCCTCCTCCTTGCCTTTCCCTTCCTTTAGCTTGTTGGCCTGCCGTAGAAAGCGCTTAAGGAGCTCGCAATCCTTGTAGAGGTGCTTGATAGGGTAGGCGTGGTTGGTACATGGACTCTCCATGAGCTTGTCAAAGTGGTCGGGCTATCCCTGCTAGGGCTGCTTGCCCGCTCGGTCAACCGTAGCGACCAAAGCTGGGTTGGCCGATCGGCGTCGATCCTTCTTATTCTTCTTGCCCATTTGTGTGGAGGGGCCCTCACCTTGGTCCTCGCACTTGGCCTTGCCCCTATCCTGACCACCGCTGAAGACCGCCCCGATCGCCTCCTCACTAGAGGCATGGTTCGTGGCGATGTCAAGCAGGTCACGGGTGGTACGGGGCTTCACACAGCTGAGCTTGTGGATCAAGGACTTACAGGTTGTCCCGAAGAGGAATGCGCTGATGACGTCCGCGTCGACGACATCAGGAAGGGAGTTGCACTGCTTTGAGAACCTACGGATGTAATCCCGCAGGGACTCATTGGGCTCCTGCTGGCAGCTCTTGAGGTCCTAGAAATTCCCAGGACGGACATACGTCCCCTAGAATTTTTTGACGAAGACCCTCTTGAGATCCGCCTAGTCGCGGATGCTGTCGGGTGGAAGGAATTCGAGCCATGCTCAAACATGCTCCCCACGCGGATGGGGAGGTACTAGATGATGAAGTAGTCATCATCCACTCCTCTGGCTCGACAAGCGAGCTAGAAGTCTTCGAGCCATATACCGGGGTTTGTCTCCCCGATGTACCTGGCAACGTTGGTGGGCAGTGGGAACGGCACTTTCTGTATGCGACGACCAAAGGCCCATGGCCTCGGGCCATCCGGGCTGGGGCTCCGGTCATTTGGTCGGCCACCATGTCTAGGGTGCATGTCCCCGCACTCCTCAATAGTCAGGCCGGGGCCTGCGCAGCCTGCTCTCGCCGCCACTCGATGGACGTCATCATCATGCCGGGCGTGGCGCCGATTGTTGATGATGCTGCGAGCATCACGGTTCAGCCCAAGCCATTCACGCATAGGTGGTCGTTGTGGAGCGGGCGCTGGGTCAGGCCACAGTGCAACAGCGGCTTCCTGCCCCACGCTCGACAACAGTAGTGATGAGTGGACAGAGCGATTCGACTGGTGTGGCCCCAGTCCTCCGGTTGGGCAAGAGGCCGTGAGCCAGTGTCACGACGTGGAGCTCTCCGCCTATTGAACGGCGATGGTCTCCACCAGCGCTCGGAGGTTCCAGTGGATTGCCTGTTCCTGGGGGGTCGGTAGGCTCGGGGAGGCCGCACAGAAGCATCACCGCAGCAGCGATGTTTTGGCCAGCCCAAGCGAACTAAGGGGGGTTGTTCCCTCCATCCAGGATGTTACGCTGGACCTGACGGGTGCGACCCCGAGCGCCACTCGCCAGGTTACGCGCACGTGGCGTAGCGTGCTATGCCGAGCGCGCCAGCGTAGGTGGCAGCTGGCTCTGTCGCCTTTGTCATAACTCCTCGCCATGCAACTGCGCACACGCCAAGGCCTTCGCATGGGGGTCCGGAGGGGTGTGGGTCTGCATAGACTCCACTACCACCGATGGCTGTCCCGGGACGTCTGCCATAGCTCACTCCTAGGACAGAGGGTGTCCAGGTGCCACGACGTCGCCAATGCTGGAGCCATCGCTTTCGACCTTGTCATTGATGAGGTCGTGAAAAGAGGCGGGAGCGTAGCCCACCATCCCCATGAACTCGGATCTGAGAGGGGGGCGTCATCATCCTTCAGAGCCCCCGTGCGCACACGTCCATGAGGGATGCGAAGCCATAGGGGAACCGGTCACACGGTGGTCACGGTGGGGACAATGGGGTCCCTCCGGAGAGTCGGTGGAAGGTGTTAAATAGTGAGTAAAGAACAATATGTACATTACTCACCGTGAGGTTTGAGCCCAGCATGGGCTCGAGGCAGAGCGCGAGTGTCTCGACGTTGAGGTCGTCGAGTGGCCCGGGGCCGATGGAGGGCGCTCCTCCTCTAGTGGACGTCAGGATGAGCGCCTCCTCGTGGAGGTGGAGTACGTCGAGCTGGTCAGCGATGAAGTCCAGGCTTCTAAAGAGGAAAGTCTGGAGCGGCACGAAGACGGGAAGAACCCACATCCCAACAGGTGGGAGCGTGGGGAACTCCAGCGAGCCAAAGCAAATCGTATTGCTCGAGCCCGCCATATCGAAGATGGTGGAAAGGTGGGCCATCCGATGACCAAAAGCGTGAACGCACGGCGTCATCCCCACGGACGGCGCCAACTGTCGGTGCGAAAAGTGACCAACAAGTAAATATTTGTAGTTTTACCGTGCGTTGTGATCGGATGTGGCCTAGCACTCAATGACACAGGATTTATACTGGTTCAGGCAACGTGCCCTACGTCCAGCTTTAGTCGGTCGGTGACTTTATTCCTGAGCCCAGGTGCTCAAAGTTTGCTATGGGGTTACAAACGAATAGGAATGAGAAGGGAGGTGTTAGAGGTCCGGTCGAACTCTGATCCGAGTGGCCGAGAGTGATGGATGCTCTAATGTGCGCTAAGCATTGGAGCGTATGCTCTGTGTAGCTGTTGAGTTCTAGAGCTATTGAGCTGTTCGAGTCCTCAGGTCGTCGAGTCCTCGAGTTGCCTGACCCTTTTTTCCTTTTTCTCCAGCCAGCTTTTAGAAGAGAGCTCATCCCCTTTTATAGTTGAAGGGGATGGCCTTACAAGTTAGAGAGAGAGAATGTATACGTGTGCTACCTAGTCTTGTTGCCCACACTATCGGGTGCGAGACGGTCATCAGCGCTCACAATATTGTTTATGTCCAGACGCATCTGGCTGGCTCAACCGTGTTCGCCTGGTACGGCAAACATCGGCGCCCATAATACTGTTTATGTCCAGACGCATCCGGTAGGCTCTACCGTGTTCGCCTGGTACGGCAAACGTCGGCGCCCACAATACTGTTTATGTCCAGACGCATCCGGCAGGCTCTACCATGTTCACCTGGTACGGCAAACGTCGGCGTCTACAATACTGTTTGTGATCTGACACGTCTGGAAGGTTGCATAGTGCCCGTCTGGCATGGCCTGGTGGCACCGTCCTACAGGTGCGCAGGGCATGGCAGGGTATGTTCCTCGATATTACGGTTGACTTGAGCACCTTACCTTATCCGCTCCTACCTGATCCTAGGGCCCTCACCGAGCGGGCGTCCCCGGTCGGTCGTTCCCAGTCGACCCTGACCGTGTCGGTCGGGAAAGGGCAGGGAGTAGAGGTCCGGCGTTTCCTCGGTCGAAGTCAGACCATGGTTCCACCTTGGCCAGGCCCTCCAGTCGGGGACCGGATTGTTGTCCCGGTCTGTCATTATGTATCTGGGCCAGTCCAGACGCGTGTTGTCGCTATACCGCCTACTGGGCCGAGTTTTGCAGGGAAGCGGATCCATTTGGAACCCTAGATTTATGAACTCGACATGGATAGTATTAAAATAAAAGTTGTATTTTAATTTGATACAAAATAGCTTCTCTTCCCTTGTTGGGTTCCTACCGTTTATTAATAATAAGAGTAGTGGTGTCTTTAGATTGGTTTTCTTGTATGTCTTTGAACGAGAGATGCATAAACTAAAGAAAAGATATGCCCATCTGGATAAATAAATCAAGGTGCTATTATATTACTAGGGGCGACGCCTTCTTCACTTCAAGAAAGTCTAATTCCTAACCCGGGGTGGACGAGGTTTTATATATTTGGTACTCTCTTACTTCATTTTAACAACGCTCGGCACCTTTTATCTTAGACAGTCACCACCTGGGCAAAGAAAAAATAGTAAAATACTCCTCGTATTCATAAGCAAAGTCGGGTTCATAAGCAAAGTATAGTTATGGGCAACTCTTACTGCTTACTCTTCTTACTGCTTATAGTGGCAACTCTACTGCTTCTTATAGTGGCAACTCTTACTGCTTACCATTAGAAAGTCTCACTGCTTACCGAGGCAACTTTCACTACTAAATGAAGATTAGTCAAAGTAAAGAGTAAAAAATAAGAAAAGCAGTGAGCTTTAGCAATGTTATTGATTAATTCCAATTAAAGTTGTTGCCAATATTGAAGGGCGGGCCTGATGCAAGCGGTAGAGTCTTACCGCATGTGATCGGAAGGTCCCGGGTTAGAGTCGTGGTCTCCTCGCATTGCACCGGCGAGGGTAAGGCTTGCCACTGACACTCTTCCTCAGACCCCACACAGAGCGGAAGCTCTCTGCACTGGGTATGCCCTTTAAAGTTGTTGTCAATATTATGAATGTCATGGTCATCATAAATAAATTATAGTTTATAAACTATATTCAGATGGTAAAACAAAAATATATAATGTCCTGTCCTTGTTTTCTATGAATATTTATAGTTTTTTTTTTGTAACGCACGGATATTTTTGCTAGTATATAAAAAAAAGGCAACAACTATACGCCCTATCAGATATCATAAAACAATTACGTGCGCATGACACGAACCTTGATGTCCAGACAAGAAGATTTGATGCGCACTAAATCTTTTAATAACACAAACAATACTCCTACATGGTAAATCGCACAACAAAATCTTCTAACACAAACCGCTATACACAGACGAATGACGTGCACGTAACTCAATGTCAAAACAAACCATACATAGTAATATATATATAAATGAATAAGCGTAAAAACGGGAAACCATTGCTCCGTTCACCTGGGCGGCTATGCTATTAGCATCCAAGTTTCCCAGAGTTCACACAAGTTTTAAAATCAAATCTAATACACATCAGTTTATAGTGGGTACTGTAGTCAATCATGGCGGTAAGATAACTTCTTGGCACAATATGAGATCTGACAAGGTCTTTCCATGCCTATCTATCCTTCTCGAACAGTTCACGCCACCATCCAGGATATTTCTCACCACAACGTTCAGGGAGCTTATGCCTGGGACGTAGTAAATTTCCACAGTGACAGGCTCAAGCAGATTGTTTCGATGCTGAATAGCTCGCTCATCAGGAAACGAAGACAAATCAAGTAGAGGTGACACAGCGTTCTTCACCCAATCCGGAGTTATTATGGACCTAAGCCGGCCAATGTCATCAGGGGAGTGAGGAATGACAGAGAAGTTCATATCATTCCCCTTATCACCAGCCCTGCTGTGAGCTACATGGTAGAGAGCAATCCTTTTCCCAGGTAAAGCAGGAACAGGGGATGCTGGGGTCTCCATGCTTGCATCAAAGTGTTGAATGCCCATTGTACGACATGTTGGGTTTTGTTGTGCTTGTGAAATATGTATTTGATCCGTTTCAGAATATGCAGCTTGATTCTGTAGGCAAGGAATGCTTGCCTTCTTTGCATGCGATCGCCAGAAGATGTTTTCCCGATCAACCTGCACAAACCAACGCTGTCATAGAAGCTTTTGGTACTGTAGGCAAGGAGTATGTTGCATGGAGACAGTAGATGCACATTCTATTGGTCACACGGAACCATTCGTAGTGATTACCATACCAGCATCTTTTGTAGAATAATTTCCTTCCTATGGCCAGTGCTGCAAGCATCAAACAAGGACATCAAATGGGTAAATCAACTCCAGAATAAAGAATGATACAGATATCTTTTCCTTGCATGGAGTAAGAACAAGGTCCATTTGATATAGTTCATTGCAATTGATACCAGTTTTCATGAATTTAAAATATCTAATAAACTTTTATACTGGCCATCCGTCCATGTAATTTATGAAGCATACATCTGCAGTCTGCACATGCGTATTTATCTGAACTACAATGCTTCAGTACCAAAAGGTTAGCTTGCCAACACAAAAGGAGCATCGAAATCACTTGCCAATACCTGATTCCACCGCCAGCAGCTGGACCATTTGTATATAGAGCAATAAATTCTTCAACAAATTGAACAGCATGCTCTTCAAGCTCGAAGAGACCATCCATCCGAAGCCTTACATCCAATACTTGCTTGGCCAAGTAACTATCCTTATCACCTCCAATAGCTTTCAGACTATCATAGCCCATGACATATGAAACAATTTTTTCATTAATGCCTGGGTACCTTTCACCTATCCACGACCTTACCTAATGCCATGAAAATGTTTAAATGGAGAAATTATCCTCTTATCGCTTTGTTTAAAAATAGATTCCTCGATTCTTGATGCTGCCGAAGTTAAAAACTGAAAAGCATGTCAATAGTATTTATATGGACTTACAAGGTATTCTGCTGCCTGGGCACGCTTTAAACATTGATGCCCCCCATATGAGATCTCTCCCCAGCCTTTCCATCCACTTTCCTAAAGAAACATGTGCAATGCAAATTGATCAGCACCTAATTAGGCCATCCTGAAAAATACATTGCTGTTGACAAATAATCTTTGCTCAATACGTTAGACACTTCATCTGTCTGAAGAAACTTTAGTGTCATCAGATTTTTAAGACCACAACGCCTACATTGTATAGACCTTGGCTCCCTCGAGCAATCTTGCATCATCTCAATAATGAAAGAGAAAATATGTTGCATGAAGTAGAGCAAAAACTAAATATTAGAACCAAGGGACAAATAGATGTTAAGGAATCTGTCTGTTCCCACCAGTCCCATCAGGTCCACAAGTTACTGTAACATCCTGGTTTTGGTTTATCTAAATAAAAAGGGCGTACCCAGTGCAGAGAGCTACCGCTCTGTGCGGGGTCTAGGGAAGGGTGTCAGTGGCAAGCCTTACCCTCGCCTGTGCAATGCGAGGAGACCGCGACTCGAACCCGGGACCTTCCGGTCACAGGCGGTAAGACTCTACCGCTTGCACTAGGCCCGCCCTTCTTTTGGTTTATCTAAATAGTTCAACAAAATGCATTGACAAGTCTTATAATACTGAAAAGACAGACATTTTAAAGAAAATATTTTCAGAAGACCTATATGTTCAATTAGGAAACAACAGATAGCAGTCAGTTCTCAGCTGCTTACTGGGCATGGTATTTTGAAAAGAGAGAATTTTATATCCCTGATTAAAACTATGCTGCTCAGTATGCAAGTCTTTGTGGTCATAGATCACAATCAAGTTGTATGTTGGAAGAACTAAATGATAAACTTAAAGTTTGTACCACTTAATTATCAAGGAATACATACAGCAGGAGATAACTGCAGGAGTTTCTCAGGGCAACAAGCATTAGATGGTTTTGATCCATCACAGCGGACCTTGTCTTTTGATATTTGGTGGAACTGTACATTACAGAAATCCACAACCTGCTCCACCAAAATATAATCAATGTTTCGATAAGAAGCTAGCTACAATTGTAACTGTACTTGGTTTTTTACTTCACCATATCAGGAGTTATGTAATTTGCAGGATCTCCAACTTCATAAAGAAGCTGTTCAGCACATGTATGGGGACTCAAAAGGCCTCCACTGCCATCTGCCTTACTGACAATGACTTCTCCTCTGTAACTAACTTCGGCAAATGGGAGAGACAAATCCAGAAGTTGTTCAAAAGGAAAATCCCTGTATGCATCTCCTGCTTTTTATGACATCACAAACAGACCATACAAAGAACACAAATCATGCTACGGTTAAAAGAGAAGGCCTAATTATTTTGAAAAGGAAAGAAAAATGTACCAGGGTGCATGAAATATCCTCCAGTGAGTTGGCAGCCACACTCTAGAAGATGGCTTGCTAATGTTCCTTGTGCCAACTGCATGTCATTCCAGTTCCAACCTAATTCATAGATCTAGTGTTGAAAAGGGAGGTAAAAGAGATAAATCATTAACTGTCAGTCTGTCACATGAAAGAATTTGTGTTCAGATGTTCTGGATTAACTTCATTATTGTGTCCAATAAAAATAGCCCAAAACCGTGAATAATATGATAAGTAGAAAAGAGTACTTGGTCCAACCCAAACTCATGTTGACAATCAAACGTATAACTTGAGCTGATTATTCTTATATGTAGTGTTGAAAAGGGAGGTAAAAGAGATAAATCACTGTCACGTGAAAGAATCTGTGCTCAGACGATCTGGATTGACTTCATTATATTGTGCAATCTATAGAAACAAAAATAATATCGCAATGCGTGAATAATACAATTGGTACAAATTTGAGTACATGTTCTGACCCAAACTCACATTCGGACAATCAAACATGGTATAACTTGAGCTGGATGTTCTTATAAATCAAGTGATTGTTTTGTGAAGTGCCCTAAAAAAAGTGATTGTTTTGCAAAGAATCAGAAAGAGAGAGCAAATTGGTCCTGCTAATATCTGTGGCTCGAAAATTGCCTAGTCACACAACTTCTAATTCAGGCATATAACACAAACATTTGGTTATATATCAAGAAGCTACATCATCTCATCGAGATTTTTCAATACAAATATGCATGATCCTTAAACAGTACAGTGCTCAGATTAGGGAAACAAAAATAACGATACACAAACCAAGAAAGGAAAGGCAAAGGTAGCTTAATATCTGATGACACAAATTCATCATGTTCACCTTGCATAAATAGTATTAAATATTTAAATAAAAAAGGGCATTACATCAATAGCAAACATGAGAGTGATAGATTAAACTTGAATACTGTACCATAGGTGCTAAGAAGAGCGAAGCATCAGCAACCCGTGAAGTAATGACAACATGTGGTTTATAGTTTTCCAAGCAATGTACAATTGAAGCTGCCCCAAGATATGTGCTACTTCCCTTTACATTAAAAAAAAGAAACAGTAAGATAAAATGTGACAGATTATAAATCCCTGGCATCAAGATAAAGCAAAAAATAGATATTAATCAAAAGATCCAAGATATGCATAACTGAGGTAGAATTGCTTAAATGTATCCACGATATGTAATTGGTACTTACTTTCTAACGATAGTTTTATTTGATGGCATCCTACAATGACTATGTATTGGAAACCTCACATTGATGTTATTTGTGTGCAGAATGTATTGTACAATTAAAAGATATATACCTACTACCTAGGCATAGGGTAACACTCACTAAGAAAAACAGATGCCATACATGATAAAGGTCACTCATTTTATACTTTACTCAAACATGGCTACAAGGATAGTTATAGTATTCATGTGAAGTGACATTAGGCAACAGGTGGTATAATATGGTAAAACATAATTGTATCAAGTGGGATGTTAGTACTTTCATGTCATGGAGTACCCTACACTAGGTTTAGGCTGGTTGGTTGCTAATCAGTAAGCTAGTTAAATGTGTGCAATTCATTCACTAGGTTGAGATGCATAATTCATTTGTGTGAAGCAAATAAAAGTTGGGATTCTGCAGATTACATTTACCTTTCATTTTTTTTTAGGATGTTTTCGGATTGAAATCAAGACTATTCCCTGCTCCTCACAGACACACAAATACATTAACACGTATGGGCTGATGTCCACGGACACACACGAAGCCTGGACCACAACACTTCTATTTGAAGTTATCTTAATTTCTTATTGTATACTAGAGCCTCCTATAGCAAAATTAACCATTATATTTTCTGACTTGGACCTTTCAGCAGCACAAATAAAACTCAAACTAGAGATCCCAAAGGTTTTTTTTCCTTATAAAGAATCAGGAGAACAAATAGAATGGAAATAGTTCCTTTGATCAAGGGGCCATAAGAATAGTCATTGAATGGTATTAAGCTGAAGTCAAGCACATGAATGATAATTAATGTTGAGAGGATCTCAAGTGATCAGTAAATTACCCCTCTCCCTCCTGTTGATTCATCGGACAATACAGGGCTTCCTACAAAAACAGGCAAAATTAAGAAAAGCAGTAAGAACATATTCAAAGTTGATTGCCTTTTTGAGATATCATCCAATCTTGATTATCAGTTTCTACATTGCAGACAAACCAATCATGATTGGAAATTTTCAAGAAGCATACAGATGTAGCACCTAGGGCTTCATGTTGCTTGGTACTATCGAACAAATGAAAAATACCTTGAGTTTTAAAGGATGATTCATAAGCTACGGCAACTGTTATCTCCAGTCCCAAGACAGATGCCAGGTTCAGTACTTCTTTCTGTGCTCCAACAGGATCCACTGACATAACAGGAAGAAACAGGTAAAAAAAAAAGTGAAAAAATAATCACACACTAAAGTTGCACTGCAGCCAGAAATATCTTACTTGCCCCCATGTTAGTTATGATGCAAACTTTCCGTTCAAAAGCCAAGGGTAGAAGCAAAGACATCCACTCTTTGACTGCATATGGTCATAAAAAGGTGTGTGATTTGGTAATTTGAAATAGTCACATAAACACTAAGGAACAGGTGTCACCTCCACTGAGCAAGAATTGAATCAAGAGCAATAGAAGCAACACATGTCAAAAAGATACCCCTAGGGTCGTATCCTTTGCCTCCTGACACCAAAATCCGGTACCGATCCGCCAGAGTTCGCTCTGCCAAACACTCGAGAACTAGATAGTTAAGCTCCTTGACTCTCTGCAGTAACTTAAGAGCCGCCATTGGCCTGTCTCCACCAAACCCAGCCCCACAGCCGACATACACTTTATCCCTGTGCCGCCTTGGATTGCTCCGCTGTCCAGTGGAATCAGTAGCAGTCAGAATGAAGCGACCAAGCCATAATTCACATGAGAAATATGAAGTTCCGCTAAGCACTAACCAGCTTCATCACACAGTTTTGAACCTCTTCCATTGTTACAGCAGCTTACACTAACTTTAGATGTTTCCAATCACAGCATTTGAGGACTCCTCTGCAGGTATAGTTCACAAAGTTCAGTTGATCAGTTAGTTGCACGGCATCAACAATGAACCAGACGTACTGGAAACATAACCAAATGGATACGGTTTCTCTTGCAAAGAGAAGCTGAGAAACTTTTGCACACAAAAACAGTTTACCTATTTATTATATAATCTTGGGACTAATGCTTGGGACTAAAAGGCCTTGTTGTTGTTGTTGTATTATATAATCTAAAAGAAGCTATTATTTATGCCAGGCCGGTACAAGAGTGGGGAAAAAAGAGCTAGTGTAATACTCATTGGATTAATTTTTCAAGAGGATTTTGCAAGCAATCCTCGAATTCCCCGTTACCGCACCAACTACTGACAACAGCGGATGAACTAAAGACAGGATGCGGATAGTAGTATCAGAGGGGAGGAAGCCTAGCAAACAGACGACGCGAATCGCTCGGGGCGCAGTCCGAGGGAGATGGCGCGCCTCAATCAATCGGCTCGGGCTATGCGTGCGTATGACGTACCCCTTAACACCGGGCTAGGCGGATCTCCGGCACGGGCGGCCGCGCGACGGGCAGATGGCTGTTTGGGCGGAAAGCCGGAAACGAGAGCGCAGACTCGGGTCTCAGGCGCTCGTCGGAGCTCGAGGAGGCATTAATTTTTTTTCTATACCTCATAATTTATTTATTAGAAGACACTACACAGTACACATAGCTATGTTTCCAATAAATAATTTCTACATAATATTTGTTTATCATTTTATCTAATCATATATTCATATATCTTCATTTTCCATTGCCTACTTACCACATCTCTTTTTAATATTTTAGTTCTTATATATATATATATATATATATATATATATATATATTATCTAAGAATCCACTTCCTCATTTCTCTTCTATAATTACAGAGTCACATAATCTTTACTTAGTTGATACTTTAATTAATATAAATATAGAAATTATCTAGTTTTTTTGGTAATGAGGGTCTTAAGTATGCTTATGGTTTATTATATTAAAAAATACATAATTGGAATTTTGGTAAAAAATTTGATCGATATTGATTTTATGCCATGATGATTCCATCAAAAAAGTGGTAAGGACTAAGGAGCGACCGTGGTTGTGCCGAGCGAGCTAATGGCAACGCCGGTTCAAGATTAAAAAAATTCCCTAAAAAGTAAGTGCAGTGTATGGAAACCTAGCAAGCAAAAGAGGGACGAACCTGCTACCATCCGGACGTCCGTTCCGGGTACTAGCGTCCGGACGCTGCCATGCAGAGGCAGCAAACGAGCGCATATCGCGTCGGGCTCGTGAGGAAGTGCACCAACAATGGGCCCCCGCTGCCCCAAACATCGTCCACGCCGCAAACCGCTTCCACACGCATCCCGTGCAACACCCGATCTACTTTTGAAACATCCAGATGTAAAAAGTTACAACATACAAAAGAAAAACAATAGAAACACTTGAAACAAGCGTCTGAAATACTTGTAAAAACGTCTGAAAAACATTTGAAAACCATTGCAAACATATGCAACATCCCAATAAAACACTTGCAAACATACGTATGAAACACCTAAAACCACTTGAAACATATGCTTGCAACATGCAGATCTACTTTTGCAACGTCCAGATAAAACACTTACAACATTCATCTGGAACAGATTAAACATTTGAAGCATACACTTGAAACATACATGTATAGCCATTACAATATGTGCAGCATCCCGATCTACTTTTGTAACATCGATATACAACACTTGCAACATACCTCTAAAATATATGAAACACTTGAAACATACTATTGCAATATGCGCTTTCATCGTAGCATCTGCTTGCTGCTTGGACGAATGGAGGCTCGTCCGATGCGGAACTCGATGCCACGGAGTGACGTGGAGGTCGCCGTTGTCGAGCTCGTCAGCGGCATAGACCTCGACGGAGACAGAGGCAGACGGATGGAGCGCGGACGCGCGGCCGCGATGGGAGGCGTGATGCCAGGGCACGCGGCGCAGGCGCAAAGTGAGCGGATGATATATGGAATCTGTTGGGACGGACGGACGACCTACGAGCAGCGTTACTGAAAAGGAAGAAAGCAACTTTTCTTTGACTATTTACTAAAGGGTGGGTCCCGTAAGCTTTGTCTATACGTTGAAGAGAAATTTGCTACGCTTGTAGACATTTTGACATGGCATCACAGCAGCACGGTATAGCCTACACGTTAGAGCTGCTCTTAGACTAGCTGCAGCGGATAGTCATCCGAGGTTTCTGGAGTAGACACTTTAGATACATGAGACAAATACTCGTATGCTCAGCAAGCTGAGTCCTTTCTAGAAAAAAAAAAACGCTTTCTCTCTCTTCCTTTATGCAACTGGAAACTCGTGAAAGAAAAACACGAGGGGCGTGTTTGGTACCCTGGAGCAGCACCGGCCTGGCCCATCTCACGCAGATTTCACGCGTTCGGTGTCCTGGACGGCTGGACGGCACCTGGAGCCAGGCTAAACAGATGCAAAGATTCCCTTCGGGCCAGGCTGAGCAGGAACGCAGCTGAGGCTCGTTTCCATGGAGCCTGGCTGGGTCGATGCCGCGCGCGCGCTCGTGGCCGTTTTATTCCTTCCCGCATGCAAACTTTGGCTGCTGGTGCATCCTATGAACCAAACAAAATCTCGATGTGGCCTGGTTCTATTTAAACAGGCAGCCAAATAACACAGGGTTGCATGCGTTGGGACTGGCCAAGTTCGGCCTGGCTAGGTTGATGCGAACCAGGTTTGATGAGGACATCTCAACCGTGCGTGCTACTCAAGAATCAACGACTCACCATCCAACATCAAGGATATAAATCAAGGGGCACTTATAAGAAGCCACGCCAAGAAACTACGGCAGTGTTCGGCTGAGCTACCAGCCGGTTTGTTCGGCTTCTTTTTCCAGCCGGAGCAGTGTTTTTCTCTCACAACATTCCAGTTTGAACAGTGTTTTCCTGCATGACCAATAAAACATTCATACCAGTCGGCTTTCTAGAAAGCTTATCAAGTCTACTTTCCAATCTAACAAGTCCCACCTCATTTGGACATCACAATAAAGAGTTATGCTCAGATTAGTTAAGACTGCTCCAAAGGTCAATAGTTTTTCTAGACACAATGTTGGTACAACTTCTCGTGCAAAACTGTATCATTCTACAATGTTTCGTGACGCATGCTGCACATGGTTGAAAATCTTATTGAGTCTACTTTCACACCCAACAAACGGCTCCTCATTTCGACTTCCCACTAGAGAGTTACAACTCTTTTAGTGAAGACTACTCTGAAAACTGACAACAGCGTGAAGATCATTGGAAATCCATTTCGTGGAAGTCTTTTCACATACTTTATCTTTTCATTTCCATTTCGTGTTCATACCTATACATGAGGGTTGTTCCTGGTATAAATATCCCTGTGCTTCCAAGCAAACAAAGACTTTTTGATAATCAGAATACAACCTCTTTATTCAACTGTGTGCTAACAAAAACCAGAGAGAAATCTCTATCCCTTTGCTCTTGTATTTTCCTTCGTGGAGATTACAGAAGCGGTCGCATCATTGGCACACAATCCGTGCTCTTGGTCCATTGATTCAAGGTTGCGTAGGTTGGTTTCTTTGAGAGTGTGGTTGGGCGAATCCTTGGTTTAGGCTGCCGTATAGAGACGGTGATTGGCTTGCGTGTCATCAGGTTGCACTAGTTATCACTGCGTGTAGCAAGCTATCGGTTGTTCTTCAGCTAGTTATCAAGGTCAAGATCCTACGTCGTGAAGATCGGGACCAAAGACCCCATCAAGACTGGTCTGGGAAGGGTACCAAACACGCCCGAAGAAATTGCATCGAGCACAAACTTCAGTTCATGCTGCTTGCTAGCATGTGCTAGTTAGCACTACTCCACATCGCATTGTATCCGTCCTGACATTTTTTTTCTCTTTCTTTGCTAGCACCCAAGAAAATCAAATGATGCAGCTGCTCTTACAACTGCTGCATAAAGGCAGGGTTAAAGAGAAAAATAGAAAGTTAGATAGACGTCGCTTATTACTCCCTCGGTCCCACAATAAAGGATGTTATAGAAAACATAGTAGACACTAAGATTAAGAGTAAAAGATCTTACTAGTCCTATGAACAATCATGACACTATTGTTTAATTGAAGTGACATATATGTTTTCTATCTCCATCCAACTCACAGAAGCAAGTATTTTCGCATAAACAAATGATCTAGTACACCAACTTTTTACATTTCCACGTGCACTCCCCAAACGGTGGATGGACCAGTGTGTACTCTGGTATAGAGTAGGGCCCATGCTAAGCTAAAACGCCGTTATTTTTTATACATATTTTGAGTGCTACGACGTCCTTTATTGTGTGATGGAGGGAGTACTATTAAATTGATCTATGTCACGCGGATCTATTGGCAAGATCAGGTCTCATTTGTCCTACCATTTAGAGTACGCACATACTTTTTTTTCTTATTCGACATTTGCCGGTTAGTTGTGTAGGCTGTTGTCGTTTACCTTTTCTTGCCATCGAAATGGTCTTTGTCGCCATTATTGAAAGACTCGGATGTCACACGGCCTATCATTTGGAACAGGTATATTTTTTCTTCAACAATTTTGCCTAATTGTGGATTAACGCTAGTCCTAGCGACTAAGAGTTTCATTCTTATTTAATGAGGTAAAAATGATAGTGTGGCATAGAAATTATTACGAAGAGAGAAGATGAGTTTCGTCTAGATGAAACATGGCACGAGCCGTATCGAACACAATGAAAATTAAGCAAAACTCCAGGAGTATTTTATTTCTTCCTCACGTATCAGAAACCGAGCGAAACTCTACTGGAAGCATTCATTTCATAACACCACACAAATTTCAAATACTATACAAGCCTATAAAACTGTGAAAAATCTTGATGTTAGGCCATTTTTCAGTGGTAGGTTTTATTGCACTTTTCCTAAAGTGGCATGTCAGCTAAAAAGGTGCGAGAGTGATGAAATGAAATAAAACCCAATCGTTCGCTCGGTATGGATGTCCAAATGTCCATTTAATGTTCTTGCGCAAGGTTTTGTCCAGATTCTGCCCCGTATGTTAATGTAAATAACTCGTTTTAATCACACAAAAAAAAAATAGAACGGAGAATAAAAGTGAAATATTTTAACACTCCTTTTCTATACTCTGAAGGCGTGGCATCAGCTACGAAACTCTTGGTGTTCAACACCTCAGTACCTCGCTAGAATACAGGACACGTGCATGATTTCCCACACATTAAACATTCAGAGTGATCACCTGAACCGGGCTATCCTTATCAACGACAAAGGATCTAGCTACCTTGCCTGAAGGCGTGTCCACTTCCACCATGTACGAACCATGGTATCCTCTGAACTTAAACTCTCCTTGGCGATCGACATTGCCGTTCATACGGGTCAGCCACTCTTGTTTGAGAGCAAGGTACCTTCTGCCAGCCTCGTTGATTGTCCCATCAGCATCGACCAGATGCGCGTGCTCTCGAAACATAAACATCTCCCAGAATCCCCAGAGGATGATTCCCCCAACAGCAGGATGTGCAAATGCTTCGCGGAGGAACACCTCTAGATCATCAGCTCGTATGTGTTCATTCTCTGCTGTGACATCCAATTCAGTAATCCAGATCGGGAGACCTAGTATGGCGAGCTTGTCCAGGGAATCGCATATGATTTCTCCCACTGGATGGCTGATATGACCTTGCACACCGATCCCACCAACTGGGGCACCCCGTTCTTGGAGATCAACTACCTGTTCAACGAATTTCTCAGGGGTAGATTTTGTGTCACATCCATCTTCGACGTTATAATCGTTAACAAACAGGACAGCAGAAGGATCAAGCTTATGTGCTTCTCTGAACATGTAAGCTCTAATGTCCCTTCCCAATCTGTCTTCATAGAAAGACCCATGTAGCATCTCATTGTTTACATCGTGATGTCTAAATCGACCTTTGTACCTTGACAACAGGCTTTGCAAACGATTTTGGATGGCAGCCATTAAGTGGTGGCCTTGCAATGACCGAACCCAAGGTTGGACAGCGTCTTCTACTTCCCAGAATAAACAGTGGCCACGAACCTGTATCTTATGTTTCTCGCAAAATTCAAGCAACTCATCAGAATCTTTATAATTAAGCCGCCCTTGTTCTGCTTCTGTATGGTACCATTTCAATTCATTCTCAAATACAGCCCAGTTGAAGTTCTTCACAAAAAACTCAGCAAGATCCTCATTCTCTATGTTGTGTCTCGCGATGCATGATCCAAATGGAAAGCTATTCTCGGTCTGTTGTATCCTCACAGATGAACCTAAAAGATTCACTGCATTTGATCCTTGGAACTTAAGAACAACATCACGCTTTCTCACCTGTCAGCAGAATCGAGAAAGTTCATATAGTATAAATTTAGCAAACTGGAGGTTTAGTTCCACAAAACCCCAGTTTTTTTGGCTATGGTACTTAATCCTAAGTTTCATGCTCTAAGCCTTCATAAATTCTAAATTTCTTAGCTAGTGACACCGAGCATTAAGTTATCAAAAGGTTTCATACCAATACCACCACCTTCAAGGATGACTATATCAACAAACTTAATTCCAACAAAAAAAAGTTGAGCAGATTAAGGGCAGCTAAGCCATTATTTGGTTATGATAGGGTTTTGTGAAACTTTATGAATGCATAAAAATGACATTGATTGCAACCGTCCATGAAATATGTGCTTTTCTGCAATTATGTGAAATTTACACTAATAACAAAGCAAAAAAATCACCACTGTTGAAAATAATGGTTGGATCACGCACGGTCACATATGAATTGGAAGAACTCACATCTAAAACGTGAAGTGCATTAAAGTTTACCTTGTCTGTTTTCTCCTTCAGATACTCAAACCGTGCTTTTCTGTCGACTGGATATATTTGAAAGTCCATGACTCTGAGATCAACACCTGGAGGAGGGCCTTGAACATATGCGGTAACTTTGGATGGCTGCTTTTCAAGCTTGAATGCTCCTTTGATTTCATACCATTGATCCCCATCAGCTTCCACTTGCCCGCCATTGACCCATTGGTTGTTATCCACAGCAAGACAGACATTTACATGGTGACGTCCATGTCCTCCAGACCCAACTCGTACCCAAGACGATACTCTGTAAGTGACATGCAACCTTAGTTTATCAGTTATGACCTGAGAAGGACCCATCCAAACATCTGTGCGGTTCGTGGCAAGGATATAACGACCACTTATATGCTTCTGACTTGCACGGTCCTTCAAGATAGAAGATAGCATATGGGGTGCTTCAGTCTGGATACTCAATCGACATGAACCCATAGGACTCCACCCAGCAAGCCCACGAGTGAAGGCATTATTGTGCAATAGATTAGTTCCATACAGAACATTCTGAAACATTTAGTAAATATTCTTGAATTAGAGAGGACACTTTTACAGTATCATGATAGATGAAAGTTATAACAAAAATAAAGGTTTCAGAAGTCTCAAGAGTCAGGATCATTCCTAAGCAAATAATCTCAGACTGGAAGCCATTAGCCTACAAACCTCAATTTTTGGGCACGGTGCAGCTTGTAGCTTTCTTGCTGGAGATAAGACAAGACCATCTACAAGAATGTCAATTCCAGCAGGAGGCCCTTCTATGAAAATAACAGCTTTGGTAAAGGGAGCATGAAGGAGGAACTTTCCTTTCAGATGTGTCCATTGCTTATCAGAAGCCTGGTTTCTTTGATTATAGAAAAAAAAATAGTAAGATAATAATGTCATTGGCTCCTAAAAAGAGCATTGTCAACAGAGAACAAGAAACAAAAACAACTTACTTGGCAAGTCCCACATATCGCTCACGACCATATTCTTGTACCCACAGAGTAGCACGCACTTCAGTATCATTGGCACTCCCAAATACTCGAACAGCAGAACTGATCTCATAAAGAACTTTCCGCTGCACCCTGCCCGTGATCTCTTGCTGGATGCCATTCCAATTGTGAACCCGTCCAGTTGCAGAAGCGAAATAGCTGCCATTTAAAGGCCGTACATTCCCATATGCAGTGAACTCATGTCTGCAGATGTTGCATCCTCTTCCTGACCAATTTTTTAACCCATCTTCGAAGTGAGGATTTTTAATTATAGTCTCGGCTCCACTTGGTACTTTTACTTCCTTCAATTCAAAAGGAATCATTAATCAGCAAACCCGAGGCTGTAAGAGTTCATGCATTTTTTTTTTCCATGAAGACAATGAATGGAGACCCCAGAACCAAGGGTATATACGTTATGCACAAAGTTAAATATGAAACACATGGAGATCAATACAACAGAAAGTTGACAGTAAAATCTTGTGCACTGCATTCCTCATTGCTATGGATGAAAACGGTACGGATATTTATTCGACCGTCCGTTCGACCGAACAAATATGAACACTTATCTGGATAGTTACTCGGATATCCGGTTTTTTTTTTTCGGATACGGATACTAAAACGGATATCTTAGGCGGATATCAAATACGGATGTAATATCATCGATATCCGGCGGATATCGGATAATCCGGATAAGTATCGGATATATCCGGATATTTAAAAACGGATATTATCCGGATATTTATTCAAAATTTAAAAATCACAAATTTGAACCATCCAAACTATCTCAAATGGAAAGTTGACCAAAACAACAATTGTAGATCTTGATGAGTTGAACAAACTTGGTATTCAAAACTTTTCAATTTGAAGTCATTTAGAGTTCATAATACTAGAGTCAAAGTGTTGTTTTTTCATTTGACCAAATTTGACTTGGTCAAACTTGCTCAAATGAGACACTAAATGACCTCAGATGAAAAAACTCTGAATACCAAGTTTGATCATCTCAGCAAGATCTACAATTGTTACATAGCTCATTTTCTTATTTGAGAAAGTTTTATCAAACACTAGTCATAAATTCTTGAATCTCATATAGACTTTCTGAAACTATGTCACACACTTGTGAAATTTGAACTATATTTTATTCAAACTTTCTCAAATGAAAAAATGGCCTATATAAGGATTGTATATCTTGATGAGATGAACAAATTTGGTATTCAAAACTTTTCAATTTGAGACAATCTAGGGTTCCGAAAACTAGTTTGTAAACGTCGAAATTTAAAAATCACAAATTTGAACCATCCAAACTATCTCAAATGGAAAGTTGACCAAAACAAAAATTGTAGATCTTGATGAGTTGGACAAACTTGGTATTCAAAACTTTTCAATTTGAAGTCATTTAGAGTTCATAATACTAGAGTCAAAGTGTTGTTTTTTCATTTGACCAAATTTGACTTGGTCAAACTTGCTCAAATGAGACACTAAATGACCTCCGATGAAAAAACTCTGAATACCAAGTTTGATCATCTCAGCAAGATATACAATTGTTACATAGCTCATTTTCCTATTTGAGAAAGTTTTATCAAACACTAGTCACAAATTCTTGAATCTCATATAGACTTTCTGAAACTATGTCACACACTTATGAAATTTGAACTACATTTTATTCAAACTTTCTCAAATGAAAAAATAGCCTATATAAGGATTGTAGATCTTGATGAGCTGAACAAACTTGGTATTCAAAACTTTTCAATTTGAGACAATCTAGGGTTCCGAAAACTAGTTTGTAAGCATCGAAATTTAAAAATCACAAATTTGAACCGTCCAAACTATCTCAAATGGAAAGTTGACCAAAACAAAAATTGTAGATCTTGATGAGGTGAACAAACTTGGTATTCAAAACTTTTCAATTTGAAGTCATTTAGAGTTCATAATACTAGAGTCAAAGTGTTGTTTTTTCATTTGACCAAATTTGACTTGGTCAAACTTGCTCAAATAAGACACTAAATGACCTCAGATGAAAAAACTCTGAATACCAAGTTTGATCATCTCAGCAAAATATACAATTGTTACATAGCTCATTTTCCCATTTGAGAAAGTTTTATCAAACACTAGTCACAAATTCTTAAATCTCATACAGACTTTCTAAAACTATGTCACACACTTGTGAAATTTGAACTACATTTTGTTCAAACTTTCTCAAAATGAAAAAAATGGCCTATATAAGGATTGTAGATCTTGAATCCATGACCATGACTCCATGAGACCCATGAAGCAATGTGCTTGGCTATTTCTACTCATGCCGCGAAGATTGGTGCTTATATGATGTTTGATGTATGATGTATCTGTATCTTTATCTTATTTGTTACTTTACTCTTTAGTCTTTCGGCTTAATCTAGATGGATTATGGACTCATAGAGTGGTGTAATGGTTTTATGCACGTATGATATATATATATATATATATGTTGCTTTTACTCAATATCCGAATAGATATTTGTATCCGACCTTCTCCGAATCCAATTCATACCAGTATTCGATACTCATTATTCAGATATCAGAATCGAAGTCAATCTGTATTCAGTATATGTATCCGAACGCTATCCGTGTCCGAATCCGAATCCGAACAGAAATATGGAAACAAATATAATATGAGTGATATCCGTTCGTATCCGATCCGTTTTCATCCCTACTCATTGCCGATTTCATTAGAACTAAATGAAAATAGAGCTTACAATCTATTACAAAGAATTTCATCACTCCATGAAAGATCAAACATAAATTAGGTTAAGTTCTGATTATTTTTTTCATTAGACTTCTGAAAAAATATAAAAGGGCATAACAAGATATTGATTAAAAAAAAGGTAAATCAAACATTTCGTTCAAGAAAATATTACAAAAGCACATAAGAACTCACTTTTGACTGTTTATGTCTGGAGCAAGTAATAGTGACAGAATCAATGACAAGATCCACACCAGCAGGAGGTCCCTCCAGGTAAAATACAACATTTTTTGGCATGTTTGTCAAAGAAAAGGAGCCTTCCAATTTGTTCCACTTTTCTTTTGAGGCAACCACACTGTTACATCAAATTCGATCATCAATCAAGGATAGTGTCAAAAGAATTTGACTGTTGAACAATTTTAAGTACAATACCTTCCAACAGTGTTATAATGCGTTGATCCATCTGCATTTTGCAACCTAAGGGTTCCTTTGACTTCAACCTGACCTTGGACATTCCCATCAACTCTAACGAAAGCAGAAACTACATAAGCAGTGCCTGTAGACACTTGATTCGTAATATCTTGTTCAAGACCCTGCCAGTGTTCTGTTCTCTTTGAAACAACAGCATAGTTCTCTCCTGAGTTCCCTCTAATACCATCAAGGAAACCAGACCATTGTGATGCCACATATGCATGGCAGCAGATGGGATTCCAAGGATGAAGGCCTTTTGAAAAATCATAATTTAAAATGATGTTCTCTGTTCCACGAATTGATGAAGCTGACCCCTCTGTTTTCTGAAGAAAATCTATAGTTAATAAAACTATAAGGCAGAGAATCTAGCAGACCAAATTAGTATCTAAGTCAGGGACATGTTCAACAAAAACTAAAATGCAAGCTGTCTTCAATGTTAACAATAGTTCTTGCACATGTTCTGGAGATCAAATAAATATGACATGTTCTCAGAAATAGTTTCAGCAGACAATAATCCTTCCTTTTCCAGGGCCATCGAGCAATTGTAGACACACAAGCAAGCAAGAGATCCATTGCAATACCTTGTAGGAGATGGTGACTGAATCTATGAGCAAGTCCACACCAGGAGGGGGACCTTCAAGGTAGAATACTAAACGTCTTGGTAGAGTTGTTAGATTAAATGAACCTTCCATCTTTTCCCAGCGTTCTTGTGAGGCCAAAATCCTAGTAAAAACTGCTTAATGATAAAACAGTGCTGATGATATATTATACGACACACTGAATGGTGGCTTATGGTCGAAATACCTTGCAATAGAAAGATAGTTGGTAGAAGACCCCTCCTCCTCAAGTTTGAGAGTGACCTGAACTCCAATGGGCTCATGAACTTCCCCATGAACTCTGACATATGCAGCAACAAAGTACTCAGTACCAAGGGTGACCTTTTCTGTTATGTCCTGCTCAAGCCCCTGCCAACTCTGTGTGCGATGAGTAAGAACAGCATAGGTTGACCCTGAATGTGGCCTTACACCATAATGGTAACCTGATCCTTCAACGGCTACAAATGCATGGCAACTATTTGGTTGCCACAAATGTAGACCCTCAGAAAAATCACTGTTTGACAGGATGTTCTCCATGACAACTTTGTCAGAAGCACTGAGCTTATCTACTGCCTGCTCAACATTGCACAGGAAACAAAATGTTAATGTGCCTAGCATCATGACAGAGGGCATAACCTGGGAGGCCATGGTTGGCAAATAATCTAATATGCATAATATATTAAGTTATATACAAAAGTTGATCTCGGGAAACCACATTTGCTCAAAAAGTTTCAAAGCTTCTAGCAGAAAACAGAAAAATGGAGAATATTATATCCTAACAAGCCACATTGTCTTTGTGCAGTTTACTTTGCACAAATATTTGATTAAAAATCTTTTTTTCCTGTCTTAAAAATCATTTTTATTTTCATGGTTTTTCTATCTCGTGGTAATACAGTAAAAAGGGAAAGGACGTAATTATGATGCAACATGGTTGCAAGCATGCCTGTTGTTTGCAGACAGTGGTTCAGTCCATCTTGGATTTTGTGCTAACATCAAAGAGGCCATCATTAAATGAGAAGATAGGTCTAAGCCGTTGACAGCATCTGCATCACATAGCAGGCCTTTCTGGTCGGGGAGGATAGCTGTGATATTTGAATAGCAGGCCTTTCAGCTAAAACATATGAAAAAGTTCTGTATGATCTTCTCAAAAGTTCTGCATGATCTACTGTACTGGAGTGCCCAACATGTCTCAGAATCTCCCAAACCCAATGGGTTGCATTTGGATCTAGGAGGCTTCACCAGTATTGATAGAGACAAGATCAGCTTATTGAGATGTACTCCAAAAAAGCAAACAGGCAACCTCAAATCCTCAATGGTTGCCGTAGTTTCCCTAAAATAAACAGCGAGCAAAGGCAAAATATGTACAACCGATTGCAGCATACGCACCTTGAATTAATCTTTGTTCAGTGGGAAATCAAATCAACAGCTGATTGGCTATGCTAATGAAACCACCAAACAATCCTATATATTGCAAGGCCTACCGAAACAATCAAACAAACATCCACAGCAAGAAAGGAATGCAGCGACCGTCGCTATACCTTGGGCTTGGAATCGGGACCCTGTGGATCTGGTTGCGGGAGCGCGCGGCCGGCCCGGCGAGGGCGGAACAGAGACGAGAGCCAGCCGCAGCGCCTCCTCATCTCATCCGACCCGGAAATCCCGTTCCGCGCAGCAGCAGCAGCTAGCCGGCGGATGGCAAGAAGTCAAAACAGGAGAGTAGAAGTGGAAGGAAAGCCGCGTAAGGTAAGCGGTGGTTACCTTCCCTCCCCTCACCCTACCTAACTGGCTACCGAGGTGGCGGCACCGCCGACACGACAGCTTGGGACGCAAGGGAAAACATGCTTCGGGAACGGCATGGAGATGCGCCCGTGAATGCGACGGCGGCGCCGAAGCGTCTTCCACAGGGAATGCCGTCTGGAGCGATGGTAAAGGAATCGGATGCGAAGAATGCCGCGCGAGAAGGATTACTGGATTAGGAAGGCCCAGGTTATCCTACGCACGCTCGTCTCCTGGGTCTTCGAGGCATAAAGATGAACACCTTCCTCTAAAGCCAAATGAGTGCACGGAACCACGGAGGTAAGCAGTACCTCTCTGCAGGATCGGCGGCCCCTGGAGACGGAGGCCGCGCCGCAGTGTTCGGCGAGCTGGGGCGGCGGCGGGACAATCGAGGAGCAGAGGACGCTGCGGTTCGCGCCGTGGATCGGCAGCGTGCTGGGGGCTGGGGCCTGGGGCAGTGCCGGTCCTTGCATCTCTAGGGCTCTCCGCCGATTTTGTCGCAATGGTTCTCTCGACGATACTCCCTCAATCATAAGTCATTCCAAAAATTTTAGAGAGTCAAAGTTTTTTAAGTTTAATCAAATTTATATAATAAAATAATAATATTTATCATATCAAGTAAGTATCATTAGATTCTTCATTAGTTATATTTTTATATTATACCTATTTGATGTCATCAATCTTTATGTTTCTCTTTATAATTTTAGTCAAACTTGGAAAAGTTTAACTCTCTAAGATTCTTGGAATGACTTATAATTTGGGATGAAGGGAGTATATAAAATTTTATAATATATAGGTACTAATTTTATTTAAAAAATAAAAATAAATTTAATAATATATTTTTAATTTAATATGTCTGATAATTATCGAGGAATAATGTAGATTAAATAATATATTTCTAGATGTATGATAATTATCGAGGAACAATGTAGATTAAAAAAACAATATATTCGTTTTCTTTTCTCACCCGACAAATGTTTCTCGGATAACATTGTAAAATTCTAACACCTAAATTAGAAGAAAAATATGACTATATAGATACAAAGTACTAGAAGTCTGAAATACTATATAAATAATTAATTTAGATTAAAAATAAAAAGAAAAATACCTTGAGCCTAAACAACTGATCGGTGATCGCAATTCGTAAGAAGGGAAGCAAGATATCGTTGTCGTGAAGCCCTGCCTGGTCGCCGTCCATGTGCGTCATATATGTGCCTCCGGTAGTCTATTTCTTTGCGGCGGCGTGGCTCGCCAGCTCCGCGTGTGTAAGGCGCACGTCGCGAACTCACGATCAGAGTGTGCTGTGTGCAGCATGACTCCTCGTCTCCTCTCTATCCGAGGGCCGTGAGAAAAGAAAATAAGGAAAGAAATACCGATGTTGTCTTTTGGAGTCGCTGGCCAGTTTTATATCTCTCTTCTCGTAAGTTTGCTAGTGCCTAATGGACTATAGGAGCTAGGAATTTGTATAACTAGGCTTAGGCCCCTTCTCCGCTTGGGCCATCGACTGTCGCACCTCGTGCCCTATCCTTAGGGCCGACACTGCCTGGGGGTGGGGGGAGGGAGGAAGCACCGAAGCAGAGATCCGAGTAAAGTTGCTGCGCAAGCTGCATCATATTGTACTACAGACAGAGCAAAATTCACAGCCGGCCCCAGAACCTCCGGCGGTGTCATCTGATACCCGTGGTCCCTAAACTTAACATATAGTGTTATCTAGATCCTTAAACTTTTAGAGTGGTCACTGCAGATCTCTAAACTTGGTCAGCGGTGTCATTCTGGTCCCAAAAATTTTTAGGTAATCACCGTAGGTCCCTAAACTTGACAAGCAGTATCATCATGTCCAAATGTGGTCCAACCTACTCTATAAGCTGGCGTGGCACGCTGACTCTACGTTAGACGTAGATTCAACATGTGTCACTTAATCCATCGTTATTTATATAATATTTATCATGAAAATATAAATTATATAAAATAATTTACATAAAAAAATAAATTAAAGTATTAAAATAATACAACAACAAATATATTAGGTTTAAACTAAAATAGGAAAATACTAAAATTAATTTAGTATTTATGTATCATTAATAGTACTAAATATTAAATAATACTAAAATTCTTATAGTATTAAAAGTTTTTTCTATTAAAAGTTACTTCTAATTTTAGTATTATTTTAAAAGTTTTAATAGTAGTATTATAGAAGTAACTTTTCTCTATTATTAACACTATAATATTGTTACTTTTAATAGTAGTATTATAGTATTAGAACTTTTAATAATAGTATTATAGTACTAAATGTTTTAATAATAATGTTAAAGTATTAATAATAGAGAAAATGTTACTTCTATAATACTACTATTAAATCTTTTAAAATAATACTAAATTAGAAGTAACTTTTAATAGAGAAAACTTTTGATACTATAGAAATTTTAATATTATTATATTTGGACCAGGATGACACCGCTTGTTAAGTTTAGGGACCTGTGGTGATCACCTTGAAAGTTCAGGGACCGGGATGACACCGTCAACCAAGTTCAGAGATCTGCGGTGATCATCTTGAAAGTTTACGGACCTGGATGATATCTTATGCCAAGATTAGAGAACCACATATATCACTTTAGAAGTTTAGGGATATAGATGACACCGTCGGTCAAGTTCAGGGACCGGTGGTGAATTTTGCTCTTACAGATACCTAATTTTTGAGCAAGTCAATGTCATGAAAAGGTGACGTGTCCATGTAGATTGATCTTTTTTTTTAAATCCATGTAGATTGATCTTGGCTTTAGTTAAAATTTACTACAAGTCATAAGGATCTAGCTTGAGATCGATCACAATCAAAAGTGTAATCATATAAGTTTGAGATGCTGGTGCTCTTTATATAAGTTTTAAGTGTTGAACAACATATTCAATTTAATTATTTCCACCATAGACTTAGCTTAAGTTGTTGACATAAAAAAATTTAGTAGCCCATCATATAGGATAAGATTGAGATCTCAAAGTACAGTTCTAGGAGTAATATATTCCTTTTAATATGTACAAAAGTACAAGTGAAAACAAGCTACACAACAAAGTCGGAATAAGCCATCATAAGACTAAGACAATATTGAGAACCGAGCTAGGGCTCGGTTGGTCAGCTGAGTAGGGTGCTCAGGTTGCCCACCCGTGACGAGCGCTGGCTTACGCAGGCGTCTCACCTCCTTTTCAAGAGTATCTGGGAGACTCCACGTGCATTAAAAAAACTACGATAATACCATTTTAAGATGAAATGGTGCATTATAGTAACTAGATTCAATAATACTAAACTGACTCTTGCCATTCTTTTGTCTTGGTGTATTGTTTTATTAAAAAAATGGTTTATCTTCGTATATGTCACACCCCAAAATTTTTGATTTTGGGTTGTGCATAGAAAACACTAAATAAAATAAATTATTTTAATATTTGAATAAAATTTATCAAGTTTAGTTTGAGCTAGCGTAAATTTAGTTATAGAAAAATATGAATTTTTAAAGTTTTCTAATTTTGACGGGCGTTTGGATGATGTGATGTTTGCTCGTTGTTTCTTTGTGTGTTGAGAGTGAGCAAAGTCATTAAAATACGTTAGTAGGTTGATTTTTCTTCTCCGTCACGTCTTTATCTTTTTCTACAATCAAATTCTTTGTTTCACGTCTCAAGTTTTTGTTGGGAGCTTCCTTAAATATTTTTTTAACGCAAATCACTTCTTTTAGTTCCTCATCCGTCAATCAATCTCTACAAACTTCTCGGAAAATTTTCTAGCTTTTTTCTAAAACTTGTTCCTACTTGTTTATGAGCATAATTTAATTTTTAGATGCTTCAAATTATCTTATCATGGGCTCAAAATACTTTATTTGGGTTTCTCATGTTCCATAATATTTCTGGGAATTTTTTCTGAATTTTCAGAGCTTTCGGAGTATTTTTCGTGGCTTAAATAATAATTCTAGACTTTTCTAGAATTATTTTATCTACGAAATTAATTAATTCCGAAAATAATAAATCTCTCATTTTTTCCAACGCTCAAAACTCATGTGCAATAATCCTAATAAATCCTAAAGACCCATGCATTTATTTAGTAATGGGCTTTAATGATTATTTAGACCCATTAGTAAAGGTGAGGGTACAACATCAATTAGTACCATATTACTAGTTGATGTGAATGTGAGGAGTTTTTCTCCCTATATATTTGTACCAACCCTTTATGTAAAGCACATCAAAACTACCACAACAGGAGCCCTTAATTTGATAAATCCCTTATGTAGTAAATCAAATTTTTTCCCTCCTTCTCTCGTCGCCGCGCTACCTAGCCCGGCCATCCTCTCCTTCATGCAACAAGTCAAGTCCATCCCTTGCACAGCTACTGTTACCATGGCCGTGTGGTGGTTGTACAGGAGGCCAAAAGATGAAGATGACGTAATTACGAAATTACCACCGGTTCGTAATATCGTCGTCGTATATTTGTTTTAAATCCGTTTCAAGTCGTTCCAATTGCGTTAGATTCGTATCGATGTGATCTACATACCAGTGTCATCATTTTTCATGTCAAGTGACTTTTATATATATGCTTAAATATTAATTTGATTAATATGTATGTAACTAGTTTTTATAAATAAAAACAACATAATTATATACAATGCTATTTTGCAAATAATTTTTAACATGACTAGTTGCTAACATAAATATGTTTCTAAATTATAACATGTTTATTCTAAACACACATATCGAATTTGATTAGATGTTCTCACATGTCAGTTTGTATTTGCAAGTTAAATTGAATTGGCATAATTGATATCAAAATATTTATAAATAAAATATGATTAGCTTCAACTCAGTTTTAAGTATAAATACGATTTGTTTAATCTAAATTAATGCTCCTCGCATAGTTTTTTTTAATTAACATAAATCAAGCTTATAGTCTTCTTTTTTTTTATAATATAAAATCCTATAGTTCTTTCTTTACAATCATAGTTCCGATTAGCGTGCTTTTCGTGTATGTGTGTTTGTAGCGACGTGTAGAACATCTTTAAAACATTTTTACTTGTTTTATATGTTTGGTGTACTATTCTAATTTAGTTCTATTGTTTGCTTCGTGTATGATTGTATAGATGCTTGTGTGGTGCTTTATGATCATGTCCGGTCGGTGAGAAGTACGTTAGTGAAATAGAAGAAGTTAGTGATCCAGAAGAAATCTTTTGGAGGTTACAATTCAGTAGAGGAAGAATCTGAGTTTAAGGTAAGTATAGCATATGATCATCCTTGGTGTCCTATACATCTTTAATTATTTAATTCATACTGCATGTGTCTACTTTGACTACCACTAAGAATTTCTTAGTACTTTATACCTTGTGTCTTGATACATATGGGATATTGCATTGGATAGTATGATGCTAGTGCTCAACTAAAGTCATAATCTTGTAACTTAACTAATGGTATATACAATAAACATTAAAAGATGTTTTTTAGCAACATGGAACAAGGGGGCTAGAGCATTGGAATGTTTTTATGTTGCTCTAGATTCCTCTCTCTAATGGCTTATCTGTAAGTAATCATCCTAGACTTACAGTACAACTATGAGGGCTACATGACTCTGGTCTTAGTCTAGTACCTTACTTTTTCTAGTTTGTAGCAGTTTATCGAAAGGACAAGAGAGGCATATCTAGGTATAGGCCTCATTCCCAGGGTGTGTACTATGCTGCGTGTATAAGTGCCACTTGTAGAGATGACTCCAAAACACTTGGAAGATGAAATCCTTAGCGGCTGCTCCTTATTAGAACGACCGGAGAAAAGCTTCGTAGTGTACCATGCCTGATCACTTTGGAAGTATTTTGAGAGTTGTAAACCCGAGTATATGGGTATCACGACTCATGATGAAAGTGTACAACCTATGCAGAGTATAAAACTGATATAATAGCCGTGTTTATGGTCACGAGCGGCCTTGAAATCCTTATGGAATAGATGATGAACACTAATGATATGGATGATGAAGATGCTCACTAATGGTTAATTGTTTATGCTATTCATTATTCATGTTTACCTGATCATGTGTTTATGGGTTTGTGATAAATTTGTTGCCACCTAATTGTTAAAAGATGACTCATTAAAAGCTAATCATAATTAAACCAGTGTCAGCCTTTTGAGTCTCATGAATTCCATGTTATATTTGTTGAGTACGACATGTACTTATGCTTGCTTTACTTTTTAAATCTTTGGAAAAATCCCGGATGGATACCAGATTGCTAGAGTTTGAAGGAATTAGGCTTGTGATCAACCAGTTAGTTGTCCCTGTGGAATTAGACTCTTCACCTGAAGATCGGAGTTGTTTTTCCGTTGATTGCTATCTAAGATTATATTCTCTATACTAAGTATGTTATATATTAAGCATTGTCTATTGATATTACATTTATTTATAGCTATATGTGAGATTTGATTTTCTGAGCTCATATATGGTGTGTATCTAATTTTGTTCTTAAAACCAGGTGCGACAGTATAAGCTTTCTATAATAAGTATAAAAATTATCCTATCTCGGTATATAGTGGCTTACTACAGTTCACTATGTACCTGAAGGGAAGATTTGGAGACCTACATAAATTGAGAATTTGAGTTGGACTTTTTTTTTTTCTTTAGCACAAAGAGTAGAGTAATGACCTATTTAGGGTTTGAAGATTTCGGACATGTTTGGCTGGTATTCTGAAACTGTTTGGTTATAAAAGAAAAATCCTGTAGATTCAGCCGACCGATAAGTTAGCGAACGTACCCTGCACAAATTGTATCATCCCTGTCATAAAAAATTCCAAACAAAAAGTGTTTCATCTCCGTCAGCCGCGGCCGCGACGTCTGCTTTGCTTCCGAGTGGCGCGAGCGCATTGATCCTTCCTTTCTCGAATCTCGACTCTCCACCGTCCCGCGCCTCTTTCCCTAGTTCCAGGCTTCCAGCTGGCAGTTGTGCTGCTTGCCTGCTTGTACAGAGAGAGGCTGGCGGCCGGGCCGGGTCGGGCGCACGTGATCTTCTGCCATTCTGGAGGCGCCGGTGGCCGCCGCCTCAGGTTGCTTCGCCAGCGCGCCGTGCCGGCGGGGGAGATGGCAGATTCGCGCACCTTATCGCCGCCCGCCGAAGAAACCTCCTGCGCGTCGCCCGGACCCGCGTGCCCCCGCCAGGCGCTCGACCTAATGCCGCGGCGCCCCCACGGCATTCCTCCAATCTTTATATGAAGGTTAGTTTTTATATGAAGGAGAACCGTACATCAATCCAAGCCGAGTTCCACCCCGAGGTAATCTTGAGCCTCTCTTTCATTCTTGTTCTCGCTCTATTGCTTCCACTGAAATTGCCTGGGAGCACAGCATCGCATCCCACCCGCCAGTGCTGGTTCTCGAAATCGGGTCGTGCAAATAAGCTTCTTGCCTTGAGGCTTAATATACAGCTTCTTTATTTGGGGAACTGTAAATGCTTCTCAGGATTGGTGGCTACTACATTTTTTTTATTGCCTTGTTCTATTGCAGTGTCCCCTTAAGCTGTAGCAGTAAGATGTCCCTCAGCAAGACCGTGCAATTCCAAGTGGAATTGCATACTAAATTCGTCAGCTGAGGTTTTCTAGTTTTTTCTGCGGGCCAGAGAACAGCTTAACATATCTGAAGAATCATCATAAGAAAATAAAATGAGGGCATCAGTAGCTAGTGCTTATCTTTTCTTGCCTTTGTTGTTTAAAGATGAATTTTTGGCTGCTTAGGTATGTTCATTATTACGACACTTGTCAAATGGTTGTTCTGCTATGATTAACTGTTGTGTTATTTCTGACAACTGTAGGTTTCCTACTTCCTCCTTCATGTAGGAACCTAATATATTTTATGTCGCTGAAGAGTAGAATAACTATTTGGACCGTTATTCTAGTTACACTATAGTCAACTGAATACCTCATTTTGTTGGTATATATTTTTATTAATACTACTAGAATTTTTTTTACCTAATATCGGGCTATATAGAATTATAGATAAACAACTTTAAATGACTTTTTAACTTTCAGAGATTATGTGAAATTTAACTTGGGCAAAATGACCATATGCTGCACAATTTTACCTAAGGGTGCATCCATATCCTGTTTCTTTATTCTGTATGAGATTCCCATCCTAACTATTAGTACATGTTTAAACCAAATAATAGAAACTGGAATGCTAAAAGACCATAATGTACTCAAGAGGATCAGCACTGTTTCTGGCAATACAAGCAATGTGTTCTGTTCCGTTATTGAGGGCTTTGATATCAAATTCATAGCTTCAGAATTAATTTATTGAGTTCCTATTTGAAGCGTATTGGCACCTCTTTCAAGTACAAAGCAAAAACTCCATATCAAAGATGAGCTTCAGATCCATCGAACAGTTACTTAGGAGGAACAGCAAAACCAAAATTTCTCGCAATATTGTTGACGGTGTCCATGACCAGAAGGAAGAGCAGTTGGTGCAATCCTTGAGGGAGTTACTTCTTGCAAGCAACCAGCTCCCAGATAAGTTTGATGACTACTATGTCCTTCTACGGTATGCCCATTTTATTTATTTTCTGGAAAATTATGTTATATATTGTTCTTACGCTGACATAATCCATCCAGTAACAGGGTAGGAGATGTTTTATTCTTCGATAGTTCTACGATGCCTGTTTCCTTCCAGTTTTGCACTGAAGAGATCATGACCTCATTGCTCTCTCATCTTGCAGCTTTCTTAGAATGAGAGGCTTCAACATCTTAAAAGCAAAAGAGATGTTCTTAAATATGTTAAAATGGCGTGAAGATTGTTCTGTTGATGCCATCCATAAGCGTATGTGTTTTTATTGTGTGTTGCATTTCTTTTATCTCTGGTTTGTTACAAGAATTTATGCGTACAGTTATCTTGGAACTTTGCTCTATCTGTACCATAAGCGTCGTATGTTAGAATAATATATATGTACTTTTATTGCAATATCGAGCTTATGGCTGTGGCACTGTGCATATCAGCTTAGCTGGAATTTTATTATGGATAAAGCTTCCTTCATCTAAAAAATGAAATATCAAGCTTAAATGTCTGTTTCTATGCTACAGGATTTTAAATTTGAGGAGTATGATGCTGTGAAAAGATGCTATCCTCATGGATTTCATGGAGTTGACAGATTTGGCAGGCCTCTATATATCGAACGGGTTGGCTTGGTGGATCTCAGTAAGCTCATGCAAGTGACTAGTATTGATCGATATGTAAAATATCATATATCAGAACAAGAAAAAACTATATCTTTGAGATATCCTGTTTGCTCACTTGTGGCTAAAAGGCACATAGCCTCAACAACAGCCATATTCGATGTGAAAGGACTGGTGCGTCAAAGCTAAATGAAGCACTTCCCTTTAATGTTTCATATATCCCAGTTTATAAGAAAATAGTTGCCTAAATGTTCAGCCATTCTTCATTCTCTAATACTGTGACCCAAGTTTCATGCTAGATTGTTAGAAGCAGGTAGTATTAGAGAATAGAGATGCTTTGATTTATTACTGTCTTGTAAGTTTTACAGGGCTTTGCTCACTTTTCATTTTTTGTCTAGATATGTGTTCCACATACATGAAACTAATACATATCTACCTGGAACTATCAGACATTTTATATGTTAGTTTTTAAGTTCCCTATCTGGCATATAATGAAGTTATTTGACTATCTGTACGCAATCATATATTTTTTCTTGGCTGCCGTTATTCAGGGGTTGAATAACTTTTCAAAATCTGCAAGAGAGATGTTCGCAGAGATCCAAAAGATCGATAGCAATTACTATCCAGAGGTTTGTCTTGGTTATGTCCATGATCGAACATCTAATGTGGCTTTTGCACTAGCCACAGTCTGCTCATACGTATCTTGCTTCTTGCTACAGACATTAAATCAACTTTATATAATTAATGCTGGAACTGGATTTAGAGCACTGTGGAAAGTATTGAAAGCATTCATGGAGGCAAGAACGTTAGCAAAGGTTCAGGTAGCATATCTTTTTGCTTGCACTATTATTGTTTGACAAAATAGAGTGAATGCTTACCTCTATGTTACTTGTTAGGTTCTGGGGACCAATTACCTTAACACAGTATTAGAAGCTGTTGACCAAAGGTAAAAGTGCATCAAGTCATGTGCAACGTTTGCATCTTTAGCTGCTTGAATGATTGCTCCTTCTGCAGCAATTTACCAGACTTTTTAGGCGGAACATGCACTTGTCCAACAGGAGGATGCTTACTCCAAGATAAAGGACCCTGGACTGACCCAGAAATGGTTCGTGCTTCTAAGGTAAGGTATGTTTCTTTAATAGGTCATTTGAAATTTTCTGGGAAGCTGAAATAAAAATAAAAATTGTTGGGAGTGATGGAATCTATTTGTGATTCTTAGGAAGCATTTGGTAAAGGTCAGAAGTCTTTCAATGAATTGACTGCCACAGTTGCCTGTGAAAGCTTTACAGGTTGTCAGGTATTATGGTATATATTGTTCTTATTGTTCTTTGCACTTTAACTTCAACAGTTAAGCCTTTATCAGCATAGGCCTATTCCTATAGGGTGGTTGTAATATTGGTGTGTGGTCATCAGCCATTGATATGAGTGTATCAAGCCTTTTGAAGTGTTAAACACTCAGCACCTTCTCAACCATGATTTTCAGTTTATAAGCCTGATTGAGCATCCATTGACCTAGTTTATAGAAATAGAGGCCCCATTGTCACATTTTTTTTCTCGAACACAAGAGAATTGCGCATCATTTCATTGAGAGAAATTGTCAAATCTATGATCTTCCTTTCCTCTAATATGATCCCATCTTTCCCTACTGCCCTTGCTCATCTCTCCACTGAGTTTTCTTTTTCCTATCCCTCTCGAACACGCAGGAGAGTTGCGTATCATTATATTAAGAAGAAAAAGGGGCAACGCAACCACAAACAAACATAAACACCAACACCAACACACACTACACACGCCACTCTAATATTTTGTGATTACAAGCACGCCTGTTAGAACTGAGACAAGCGACCGACACCCCCAGACACCAACCTACTACTCTTCATGAGCCGGACCAGTCAAAGAAGAGAGGCTCCGCGCGCCTGCTACCTATCCCTCTTTATGCTTTCCACCACTTGGTTTTCTTTTCTGAAGAGATATAATTATCACACAACTTGTGTGCACGCACACCTTGCCTTACCAGAAAATTATAGTCTGAGAGAAAATAATCATTACATTGTATCTACCTGTTTATTTCCTTTCCGTTGCTTAGTGCCATGCCCAAATGAAGTTGGCTCTCCTGTCTTCTAGTTCTCCCTCATTTTCCTTGCCAAAGAATCATCATGGATTCTTGATTCTTCGTATTTTGTTTGCAGGAGCCTTCCACAAAACAAGTAGATTCCACTTCTCGTAAGAAAAGAACTCTTGGCATGTTGTTAAAAGATGACCAGGTCTTATTTGTGTCATCTTCTTTATTTTCTAATTTCATTTCTATCCCAGTGGAGTTTCACTTCATATCAGGGAAAAATATGTGCCAGTAAATAATTTTAAGTTTCACAAGGCAGCAAGTAAAGAAAAATACGTCTATGCCAGTTCAGCCAGTATTCCTTGTGTTATGCACGAAAAGTCGCATTAATACTGATTTCTCTATGGGACAGGTTGGAATTGATACAGGTGAAAATATTCTGCAGAAACAAGTCGATGAACAGATCTCGGAGAAGATCCGAGAACTTGAACACTGCGCTGTTCAGAGTAATGAGGTGAGCAAAGGAACCCAAATTCAAGAAATTGCAGCCAAGAAAATATTCTACATAGCAACTGAATGTAGTTTCTTTGTAATTCAGACCCTGCAGACACTAATATGTAAGCAACAAGAACTCACTGGCCACATCGAACAGCTGAGGAAAATCCTTCTGTGAGAATGGCACCCCTCCTAGTTCATTCATTCCTTTAGTTGCTGTCTTGCATAGCATTCAGCATCCCAAACTAAGAAGATAATCTCTCTACTTTTTCTTTTATTTTTCAAAAAAAAAAAAAAACAGGGATGGCATGGGTGCAGATATGAAAGGCGACACACAAGACACAAAACTCAAAGTAAATTAGTGCTTGCCGAAGGTGGAGAAAGTCAGAAGGGACAAGAAACGAAGCCATCGTTGTAATGTAATAAAGAAAAAAAATATGCACCTTAGATAGTTTTCTGTGATGAATCTTTAAGACTTTAACCCCTATGAGCTGTTAAAACACTCAGTTGTGAATGTCATAGTATATTGTACACCATGGTTATTCTCGCAACGCTGTCCAACGTCCTCTCAGTAGTCCTGTACCATTGTTAAATAAATATTACTCATGTCATTTACCGTCATCCAGGTTTCATGAGTAAAGTTGTCTCTTACCGAGATTAGATTCAAGTCACACATCTTCAAATCACTCAGTACTTTGAGGTTTCATATGCACTGAAGCTAAACCGCAAGGGGCTTCCAAACAAAAAAATGGCATTCCCCTGTTTTTTGTTTTAAGAGCCGATGATTATTGTGCTTGCGCTTTTTTAAAAGAAACTACAACATCCCTATATGTACTTGCTCATTACAAAATAGAAGAAATTGTTTGTTTAGTTTGGGCAAGGCTTTAACCAAAATTAATATACTAATATGTCAATTATGTGATGCAAAATCATAATCACAAGTAACACGAATCTAGGAAGGTTAGTTTGTATCAAGACAAGAAAATGAGGTATTGATAAAGCAATTGTTGGTCAAAGGCTAGTCATAACCAAAGGGATTATACTTCCATCTTGAGGCATAGGAGTATACATTATAAATCTTTTTTAGATATATATATGTTAATAGAAGGGCAGGTCTGGTGCAGTGGTGAGAGCTGTCTCACTGAGTCACCAGGTCGTGGGTTCGAAGCAGCCTCTCCGCAGATTTTACGGGGGAAAGGCTTGTCTCGGTTTATCCCTTCCCCAGACCCTACTCATGTGGGAGCCTCCGACACTGGATATACCCTTTTATATATATATATATATATATATATATATATATATATATGGAGAGTCTAATTTGTAGCCAGCTATAGAATAGATTATTCTGTAGCCGAGCCACACCACGCACACGGAACCAGGCGCATCAGCGCGTGCATGGCTGGTGCGTTTCTGCATGCTTCCCAGGCGCCTGCATGCGCTTCCCTGCAGTAATGACGTCATTTAATGAGCAATTAATGCCAAATTACCGGCCAGCAGGGGTGCTGTCTCCTGTCCAAGACTGCAGCATGCAGGTGTGTTTACTAGAATATGTGATCTCCTTTGATTAGTTACGAGAATCTGTTTACTAGACTTGCAATTTTTTTACTACACTAGAATCCATGCCTTTCTGCCCCCTAGTAGTTACGATAGTCTATTTACTAGAATCCATGAACTTTTTGTTACCAAAATAGTATATGTTGAACTAGCAAGAGTTACCAGATTCATGCAACAAGAGATTTATAAAAAAGTAAACGCTCCTAGCAAGAGTTGCAGTAACTCCACATAAGGATTATTGTAACATTCCGTTTGATTTATTTCTCGTAACATTCAAAATGCAGTAACTCCAAATAAGGATTATGGTAAATTCATCTTGTTATTATAGTAAATTGTTGCTCATATAGCTTGCATCCAAATTGTAGTAACTCCAAAAAATAATTACTGTCGCACTTTTTTTTTGTTGTTGTTCATTATATAGTAAATTTATCTTGTCTTATAGTAACTTGTTCCAAGAGACAATTTATTGCATCATCCTGAAACCAAATTTTACATAAACAAGATTATGCTATCAAAGCACATTCAAATTATCGTAACAAATTCATCTCATCGTTGTACCTCACAACACAATTAGGCCTAAATATGGTAATTCCAAAAATTCTCCAGAAAATTTATTGTCACCCTTACAGGTAGCTCTTGAACAGCCACCCTAATCGCAATTACATAGAAGTTTCAATATTCTTGCGTGGTCTAGAGGTTAATCTCAGATGCATTTGCCCAGACGCACCTCATCTCTTCAGAAAAAAAAATATATGATGTGAAAGAACAGTAATAAACTATTTGATACATTAGAAAACAGATTTTGTCGCTGCTCACCTGTTTTGGATTGACGTCTCCGCTAGCCTGTTTGGGCGGGAATATGAACGCCAGTCGCCAGGAGCTGCTGCAGGGCGTCTGTCGCCATTGACCACCAGGGATGAACAGAATCAAGAACACGTGCATGCAGTTTTGCTCAGCTGTCTCCTTAGCTAGCTGGCTCAATCGGACATTCGGACGGGATCAGCCGGCCTGGATGGGGATATGGTCACCCGGCCCGATCGCACAAGCGTCGGCAGCCGCGGCGCTACCTGGACATCGCTATTGGAGGACTGGGGCATCACCACGGACGGGAAATCACAGCGCAATATACAGCGACGGAGAAGATCGAGGAGCAACGACATCGCCGCCGAGATGAGTGGAGGCTCCGCCGCCGAGATGGTGGAGGCACCACCGCCGCCTCTGGAGGTAGGAAGGCCCGCCGCTGGATGCAGGTGCAGGGGGTGTCCGATGCCGAATTGCCGATTCACCGTTGAGGAAGGGGCGCCGTGGATCCCATGAGAATGACGCGCACCGCCGGCCGGGGAAGGATCAGATCGACATGCCGTCGCAGTGTCCGGTGTGGTGGAACGCCTCCAACAGCGAATAAGCAAAGCGTGTTTTTCTGGCCAGATTGGGCGGCGAACCAAGCTGGTGTTCTCGTGGCCGGTGGAAGGAAAGAGAAAAATCTGGGGATTAAATCAACGCATGCATGCATTAGTTCGACGTGGGGACCACCACGAGTCAAAGCCAATTCCTATTTTGTAGCCAACGCACGTGACTGGCTTCGGGCTCGCTCGCGTGTTGCGGTCCGTCTGGTGGGCTCATGAGTTTTAGTGCAGCTACAGAATAGACTATTTTGTTTTATATATATATATATATATATATATATATATATATATATATATATATATATATATATATGTTAATGTGTGGCGTAGAAAAGACAAGGGAAAGCTTGTTAACACAAATGGTAAAGCCTTAACTAGTGTTTCTCTACTACAAATGCACATATGAGTTATTATCATCCCTTAAAAATGATGTACACATTTGAACATTTTTTCTTTGTTTATTTTTTAGGCCAATTGCATTTCTGCTCTTGTTTTCAACTCTAAGTGCATGTTTGCCCCTGTTTTTTTAATTTTGCAAATTTGCCCTTGTTTTTTGAATCTGAAGCTTCCACTGGCCCCTATTCCGTAAAAAAGACTTAACGGTGTTAAGTAAAGGCTGAAAAGATACAAATGCCCTTGACACGAATGACCCAATAATCAATAGGATTTTTCATATACAAACTTATTGTGATGTATTTTGGACAAATAATATCACATTTATTTTGTACAGACAGGAATATCATCATTGTCATCTCAGTCAACTATTTCATCATCACAGCCTCGATCCGTTGTTTGGGTTTTTTTAACGGGCTCCACTGCTTTATTGGTAATTAAAAAACAAAGAAAAAAAAAGGAGAACGCTCATTCAGATTCAGGCCGCACTCAGGCTTATCGGTTCGGATGCCCAGTCCATCACGGCTTCAGGCTTCACCAAGAGACTTTTCCCTGTGTGCCATTATAAAAGATCGTAATCCTCTATGTGCCCCTGAAAAAATTCAGCGGTCTTCAGCGCCACTACTTCAACTTTTTCGTGTCATCCATGCCACTTCCGTCAGTTTGGGCTCTACTTGCCCGTCAAGCATAGGTATGAAAAAGCGAAAATGCCCTTAAGTTCAATATATGTTATTAATTTTTTGAGCATCTTAATGACTTCAAATGAAAAACTCAAAACTAGAAAGTTGTAGATCTCGTCGAGATCTATAATTTTCATATAATTTTTTCATTTAATTTACATAAAAAAATATGATTTGATATGATTAATATATCTTAGAAAAATCATATTATTTTTTTTTGCGGAATTAAATGAAAAAAAATATGAAAATTATAGATCTTGACGAGATCTACTTTCTAGTTTTCATTTTCATTTGAATGAGAAGATGCTAAAAAAATAACATGTTTGAACAAAACATTCAAGACCGCTGAATTTTTCAAAACTGACGGAAGTGGCATGGAGGAAAAAAGTTGAAGTAGTGATGGATTACGATCTGAGCCCCAATGGATTACGATCTTTATAATGGCACACGTGAAAGTCTCTTCACCAATCACCGAGCACCCAAGGACTCAAGGAGGCACGCTGTGGCGTAAGCAAGGACCTGGAGCGACGGTAGGGCGCAGCAACACATGGCGAGACCAGCAGCGTGGGCGTGGCGGCGGGATGAGCTCGCGCCTACCGCCTCAGCGTCGCCGGTCCTCCGCGCCGTCTGCTGCTGCGCCGTGCCGCCTTGACCCAGTCGTGCCCGCAGCGCCTTGCCGCCCGCCACGCCGCCCGACCTGCCAAGCAGCTTGAGCGCCCGCCCGCCGACCTAGCGACCGCACTTCTCAAGTCACGGGATGAGAGAAGGGGAAAAGAGCAGGCCCTTATGTTTGGCATCGTAGTCTTTCCCCTTTCCTTCTTTTTGCCAAGCAATTTTTTTGACCCATTATTAAACAGCAACTCACTGAGATGGGAAACAAGGGCAAACGGCAACTCAAGTTCAAAAAATAAAGGTAAATATGCAAACTTAAAAAAATATGAGCAAACGTGCGGTTAGATTTAAAAATGAGGACTGTCGGTGAAAAAAGTGACCGATAAGTAAATATTTATCGTTTTACCGTACGTTGTGATCGGATGTGGCATAACACTTAATGACACGGAGTTTATACTGGTTCAGGCAACGTGCCCTACGTCCAGTTTGAGTCGGTCGATGACTTTATTCCTGAGCCCAGGTGCTCGAAGTTT